GTTTTCCTCTGTCCCAGTCCACAATGTACTTCTCTCTTTTACAGAGTCACAAATGGACGATTTGAGTTGTGCCTGTTCTGCTTTGTGTTTTGTTGCTTGTGTTTCACCTTCGCTGTTTCCTTCTCACATTCTGTCCTATGTTCATTTTTTCATGTATTGAACGCCCTCCCTGTTTACCTGATGTGTGTTTTATTGCAGGACATGTAAAGCATTTCATATATGACATTACATTTATGCTTCACAAAGGAAAACGAGCGCTCTGGCTTCCACAGGATCATGTAGAGTGAGTTAAGACGATCATTTTAAGACCAAAATGAGTCAGTAGCAGCAGTGGACTGGAGCTGGTGGAGACAAATCACACCCATGCTCTGTGCACTTTCTGTTTTCTTCTGTTTATCTGGGGCTGGGTCACGGGGGCAGTAGTTTAAGCAGGGACTCCCAGACTCTTCCTCCAGCTCCTCCAGGGGGACCCCGAAGTGTTCCCAGGCCAGTCCAGAGACACAGTCTCTCCAGCGTGTCCTGGGTCAAAAAAGAACAAAATTCAAAAACTAAAAAGGTATAAGCAACTCAAAGAAAATGCTCAAATGAAATTAAAATAAAGAACACAAGAAATAAACAATAACAGTAATGATGATTATTATAACTCTGTCCCTAACACCAGTGAGCAATTACTTTTTCTAGATTGTACTGATTAGAATACTTTACAAACTAAATTCACAAACATAAATTTGATCTTGTTGAAGCCTTAAAAAAATATTTCCTAGCAAAAAGTTGTATTCAGAAAAGGTGTAGGAAGAGAAAATGTTGTTTGGGCCCATGCACCAATGAGCACAGGCCTCTGAAAACAATACGACGCCATCTTGGGTTCACCTTCACATTTTATTATCGTTTTATGTTTATACAGTCTGCGGTGTGGATATCTGCAGATCTCAGACAGCAGTGGATTTAAAAAACAAAACAAAAAAATGTTTGTCAAAGAATACAGTAAGTGCAATAAACATGAAAGTGTGTGTTATTTGTGCTAAAAAGTTACGCAGTGGGGCTTTAATGTTTTTTTTGGCTGCACAGGTGACCAATAGAAAGAGAAAGGAGCAGAGTCAATGAAAGATTAAAGCCTCCACTGCAGAGACGGCGAGAGGAGGGGAGGCTCGGGGGGAGGAGGCCTGACACATCTTTTTCTGTCGGAGCTAAAAATACTGAGAGGAGCAGGGGGCGGAGCCAAAGAAGAGGGGTGGGGCAGAGTGAAGAGGGAGGGGCTTAGGGCTGGGTGTGTGTGAGAGTGTTTCCATAGATATAAACCAGTGTTTTAAACTTTCACAACAAGAACCACCAAAGAAAAGAACTACACCAGGTCTAAAACAGGATTTATCCAGGTCTAATCTGGGACTAAACCAGGTCTATAACAAGACTTTTTTAGGTCTAATCTAGGACTAAACCAAGTCTAAGACAGGACTTTTAGAGGTCTAAAATAGGACTTTTCCAGGTCTAATTTAGGACTAAACCAGGTCTAAAACAGGATTTTTCCAGGTCTAAAAGTAGACTACATCAACCCCACTGTAGTTTAAACAGAAATGGTCCAAAGCAGGACAGAAAATTGGGTCAAATAAACTGTAAATGAGGCAAAACCACAAACTGAAGAGCTCCAAGTCCCACCTGAAGGAGCTCATGTACCTGCATTTGGACAGGTACCACAGTTTGAGAAACGCTAACCCTCATTCAGGTGTTTTATATATATATATATATATGTGGTGTGTGGCTAGGGCCCAATTAAAGATGCATTATGTAACATCACTGGTAAAGTTTGTGCCAAGAGTCTGCCTCAAATGCCATGTCCAGAGGAGTGTGACTGCAGCAAACAGCCCTTTACACACTCACAGTCACTTTCACACGCCCCCTGTTCTTCATTCACTCCACACTCAGTGATGGTTACTACTGGAGCCACAGCTGCCCTGGAGCAGACTGTCAGAAGTGAGGCTGCCAGTCTGCACCTTCTGCCCCTCCCTCCAACACTCACACACACCACAGTCATTCTATTTATTTCTTCTTCTTCTTTTTTTTTTTGTAACGACCTGGTCAAGAGGCAAGATACCACTAGCCTGATTCATTATCTGGTTTCACTTTGTAGAAACCGCATGACTTCACAGCATTAGAATTTGTTCGCTCAATGGTAGGCAAGTACTTTTTTATTTAACCAGTTGCTGTCATTTGGTCGTGACGTATGTAATGCTCCAAATCCCGTAGGAAGAAGAACGATAACGTCTTTCCTCTTGATAAAATTCACCAAACATTCTCTTTGTTCAGGTTCTAAATGTTACGTGCCAGTGGAGTGGACTCAAAACTATGACAAAATGCAAAAGTAACAGGGTTTATTAACCAGGGAGGACAGGCGGTGGAGAGATGAGGAGCCAGCTGCCGGGATGCAGGAGTCTTCAATGGCAGGAACATCTGGTAGACGAAACAATCTGGCAGAGTCTGGCAGAGTCTGGCAGGAGAGCTGGGCCTTGTAGCAGGCTTGATTGCAGATGGTGTTCAGGTGCTCCCAGCAGACTCCGCCCACATCCACACCCAGAAGACTCAGGACAAGCAGGGGCGTGACACTAAATCCTCCATCTTGGAAATAGTTGCCAACACAGAATGTACAGCTTCGTCTACATCCATCTCGACACTTTGTTTGTTTGATTACTGACTACTTGCTTTTAAAAGTAACTAAGTTAGATTACAAGTTACTTTATTAGTTACTTTCAGCAGCAGCTGATCCCCCACCCCCTTCTTGAAGGCAGACAACACTTTGTCTCCAGCACAGAGTGTAAAACGAACCTTTATGTTGCCATCCTTAGCTGAAATAAAATCAAAATAATGTTTGTATTTCCAGCTGCTCGAGTCGTCCCTCTCTCCCTCCACTGTTTACATCTGACTCGTGGCGGAGCCGACATGACGTAACGTCATAGGAAACTAAATAACCTACATCGCCCTGAAAGACAAAAATAGTAACGCACAGTGTGTTAGATAAGTAACTTAAATCTGACACTGGTTTGGAAACAACACTAGACATTAAACTAATCATTACTGAAAAAAGTAGTCGGACTACAGTAACGCGTTAGTAAGTAGAGAGTTAGTGGCATCAGTGGCTGTACCACAAAAGGAACCCAGACAGGAGGCACGAGTTTGACGTCATGACTTCACAGGTCACAGCTGATTGGCTGGTGCACGGTCTACATCTTCTGGGGTTCTTGTGAAAGGTCTAGTGTATTCTGATTCCTGACCCAGACGCTGGCGAGAAATGAAATTGAACGAAGGCACTAGGTGACACTATCCTGACTAAAATAACACAAAAGCACAAACAGAATTCACTCACACATCAACCATAGAATGAAATAGTGAAATTAAAAGCCTGTACATTGATCCTAGGCATTGTGGGTAAAGAACCTTGCCTAATGACAAGGTGCTCCACAGTCTAGACCAGGGGAAGGACTGGGACAAAAAGACAGTCCTGGACTTTTCCTTCACAAATTAACCTATGGGCAATTTGGGACTGTCGTTTATTATTATCGTATTACCGCCCTCTGCTGTAAGTATGACCCACAACCGGTACAACAGATGACCGTTCTGGACTTTTCCAGAATGTACAGATTGCCAGTCCGCCCCTGTCCAGACCAGACCAGACCAGACCGAGACCTGCTCAGCAAAACAGATGTGACCAGGGGCCTCATTTATAAAAACTGCGCAGGAGTTGTCGTAAGTCAGTGCGTACGTCTAGTAGCTACGAGAGGCGTGCGCCACGCAAACTCCATATTTAGAAAATCCACCTCACGCACCAAACCGCAATCTTTGCTTTATAAATCCCACCTGCAACTAGAATTTGCACACGTAAACCCACGTCACGTCACGACCTCTCCACACCTCCACCTCACCATAAAAGGAGCATGTAAAGTGACTCGTGACTGAGATTTCCCTAAACATGAGCCGATAATCAGTGGGTTTGATCGAGCCACACGGGACAGAGGGAGGAGGACGCTCCACGCAGCACCACGTGATCACGACAAAGACTTTATTAAACAAGGTTTAATAAATAAATACAAAACTAAAAGTGACAGCAATGACTCATCTGTTCATTTAATCATATTTCATAATATTTAGGCAGCACATCTTTAAAGTTGCATTCATTAAATCAAAGTCTGGCTCCTGCTGCGTCCAAGGGAAGAGTTTTGTCTCAGGTCGGATCATTATTTCATCCTCTGTGTTGGTCACAGTCTGTGTTCTATAGAAGTCTATGGTCGCGGTGTGGACTGTGGGAGTTTCAAATGTATAATATTGTGGAGAATAATGAGTGGAATAAACAGCCCTTCTCCGTGTTTTGTGAACCAAACTCTTAAATGCCCAAATCAGAAGGTCATTCTTCTATATACGTGGATTTTCTGATCAAACTCTTCCTCAAACTCTGTTCACTTCTGCTTCCTCTCCACGAGTGTCGCTTTTTCCCCGTGTCTCCAGACTTTGCGTAGAGCTTACAGGAGGTCCCGAGTTGGCGTAGAGTTAAGCAAAGAGCCACGCCTTAGTTGAGGTTCATAAATACCGCGGTTGGCGTAGAGAGCGCGTACGCAAGGATTTTTGCATAAGCAAGATTTATAAATGAGGCCCCAGATGAGGTTTTGACAGGCAGCTTTGGCCACATGTGTAGATACAATTCCAACTGATAGATCAGGATCAGCCCCTGTGGCCCTGCCCTTCTCGCCTGGACACATGTAAACAGCTATCTGTCCCTGTCCCCCTCCCCTCCAGGTTTTAGCCCCCTCGTCCTCCCCCCCGTCCCTGTCCCTGGCCCGTCCCTCTGCATTCTCTGGTCTATTTTTGCCACTCGTCTCTAAATAAGGCTGTGTGTCTGTGGATGTGGGGCGGCCTGCAGGGGGCAGCGTCACGGGGGGTCGGGGTATAAAAGGCCCGGGATGGAGGGTCATTGGTCTGATCGCTCTCACCTCCGCCCTCTCTCCCCTCCTCTCCCCTCCCCTCCCCCTCCTCTTCCTCTCAGTCGTACTACACGAGGCTAATCAGATGAAAACTTTGCATTTGCTTTTGATCCAAAACTCTGGAGATTTTTGTTGCGGACGATGTGTTTTAGAAAACTTGGAAACTGGACCCAAAGACGCAGCAACAATTCAAGTAAGTGGTCCCAGAGGTGAGACAGAGAGTCCATGTGATGATGTAAGAGCTGCTGTGTGTTTGGTGTCACTGTTCACCTTTCACTTTAGGGCTCACATGTGCACAGGCGCAACACGAGCCAAAACTCTACTCAAGTAACAGTAACAGTACTTCAAAATGATAGTATTCAGCAAGTACAACGCAGTGGTGCAAGAAATACTCAACTAAAGGTAAAAAAGTAAGACAATACTTGAAATAAAATCTGTTATTTTTAAAGGACAGACACAAAAATGAGACAAACAAAATCAGATCTGAAGAAACACAAATGTTTAAATCATTTCATATTGTCACATAAAACTTGTATCACTTTAGACTCACTCGCAGAGGGAAGAGGAAGCACTACTGTTACTCAAGTAAGAGTACTGTTACACTGTGGAGTACATCTCTCAAAGAGTACTGTTACACTGTACTGTATATTACATAAGAGTACTGTTACACTGTACTATACATTACTCAATAAGAGTACTGGTACACTTTGCAGGAAAATTACTCAAGCAAGAGTGCTTCAATAAAATATTTCTGAAGTAGGAGTAAAAGTATGCTGATAGAAAAGTACATTTTTTTTTGAAAAAGTTACTCATGTAAATGTAACTGAGTAACTGTAACTGAGTACTACCCACCTCTGCTCTTATTAGTTACTAACTAAGGGGTAAGTTAGTGTCTTGTTAGTGATTCAGCTGCTGGTACGAGTGAATACTGAGCACTACTGCGATGAGATGAACAGAGCAAATGACTGAATACTTTTAAACCATGGGCTTAGACAAAAAGTACTGCATACCAGAGACCAGTGTAGCTGTCCATTATACTACTACTACTAAGAGTTATGTTTGTATTTTTTCCAATGTCAGATATTGTGAAGTGTCATTTATTGATATGAGTATCAGTATTTATCATTTAAACGAGCTATAGTGACATACTGTGGTGTCCAGTGAGAGCAGACGTCACTGTGAACGTCATGACAACAAAGAGCCACAGGCTGTGAGCCCCTCATATGGAGAGCTGCACATCACACAAGAACAATTTATTTATTTATTTTTTTCATTTGTACCAAAATGACTACACAATGCTGCTGAATCCTGCGTGTATCACCAATTAAGAAAATCAAACAGGAGAATAAAGTGCATCACAGTGGGCGTGTACCGGTGGAAATAAGCAAATAAATCAAACATGCATGAATGACTCCAAATACAACTTCAGGGTCAGTGAGAAGAAACTACTGTAACATAGTTAAAGCTCTGAAAAGTCCAGTTTGCAAAATAGACCTGATGTACAGTGACATAAGATTTGAAGGCCGTGCAGAGTCTTTTATGGCTCAGATCTATTTGTTGAACCCTGCACCTGCTCCTCCCTCTGCACAGCTCAACATCAGATCCAGATCAGAGCGGCTTTGGGACGCTTCTGGAGAGAACTGTACTCTTGTCCACAGTTTGTGCAAATGTTTTCATCTAAAAGAAAGTTAATAGTTACTACTCCTGAGCAAGACCTGCTCAAGCAGGTCCAGTTCTATTAAGGACCAAGATCCTGGCTCAGATCTCTCCTCTCCCTCTCTCCCTCTCTCTCTCTCTCTCTCTCCTCTCTCCCTCTCTCCTCTCTCTCCCTCTCCTCTCCTCTCTCTCTCTCTCTCCCTCTCTCTCTCTCTCTCTCCTCTCTCTCCTCTCTCTCCCTCTCTCCCCTCTCTCTCTCTCTCTCTCTCTCTCTCTCTCTCCTCTCCTCCCTCCTCCCTCTCTCCCTCTCTCCCTCTCTCTCTCTCTCTCTCTCCTTCTGTGGTCGTGTCCATCAGCTGTCTGAGTCTAACTTTACCAACACAGGAAAAAGCAGCTGTCTGCATCTCCTCTTCTCTCTCTTTTATCAAGCCAGGACCAAACCAGGTCTAAACTAGGACTAAACCAGGACCAAACCAGGTCAAAACCAGGTCTAAACCAGGTCTAAACCAGGACCAAACCAGGTCTAAACTAGGACTAAACCAGGACCAAACCAGGTCTAAACCAGGTCTAAACCAGGACCAAACCAGGTCTAAACTAGGACTAAACCAGGACCAAACCAGGTCTAAACCAGGACCAAACCAGGTCTGAACTAGGACTAAACCAGGACCAAACCAGGTCTAAACCAGGTCTAAACCAGGTCTAAACCAGGACCAAACCAGGTCTAAACTAGGACTAAACCAGGACCAAACCAGGTCTAAACCAGGTCTAAACCAGGACCAAACCAGGTCTAAACTAGGACTAAACCAGGACCAAACCAGGTCTAAACCAGGACCAAACCAGGTCTAAACCAGGACTAAACCAGGTCTAAACCAGGACCAAACCAGGTCTGAACTAGGACTAAACCAGGACTAAACCAGGTCTAAACTAGGACTAAACCAGGACTAAACCAGGTCTAAACCAGGACCAAACCAGGTCTAAACTAGGACTAAACCAGGACTAAACCAGGTCTAAACCAGGACTAAACCAGGACCAAACCAGGTCTAAACTAGGACTAAACCAGGACTAAACCAGGTCTAAACCAGGACTAAAGGACTAAACCAGGACTAAACCAGGTCTAAACCAGGACTAAAACCAGGTCTAAACAGGACTAAACCAGGACTAAACCAGGACTAAACCAGGTCTAAACCAGGTCTAAACCAGGTCTAAACCAGGACTAAACCAGGTCTGAATCAGGACTGAACCAGGTTTAAACCAGGACTAAACCAGGACTAAACCAGGTCTAAACCAGGTCTAAACCAGGTCTGAATCAGGACTGAACCAGGTTTAAACCAGGTCTGAACCAGGACTAAACCAGGACTAAACCAGGTCTAAACCAGGATTAAACCAGGACTGAGCCAGGTCTAAACCAGGACTAAACCAGGTCTAAACCAGGACTAAACCAGGACTAAACCAGGTCTGAATCAGGTCTAAACCAGGTCTAAACCAGGACTAAACCAGGACTAAATTAGGTCTTAACCAGGACTGAACCAGGACTGAATCAGGTCTAAACCAGGTCTAAACCAGGACTAAACCAGGACTAAATGACCCATCTGTAAAAGAATACACTTTTTACTCAGCTGCACATAAATCACATTCTCATATAGATGATTTTGTTATCAGTAACTCTCTCTTCCCTAATATAACGGACACAAAAACACAGCCCATCACACTCTGTGACCCCGGCCCAGTCGGCTTTACACTCAACCTCAATCTGCATAAACTCAATACATCTGTCCTCAAAGACGCACACTCTGACACCCTCATTAAGAGAGTGGGCGTCCTCTCTAGAAATGAATAAATGAATGACTCTCCAAAGTCCTCCCCACCAATTATTTGGGCAAAACAGTTCTTAAAGGTCTAATAACTTCTTACTCCACCTAGAAATAAAAAAAATAAATAAAGAAAGAAAGAATTATAACTTGAAACAGAATGAGAACAAGGAATAAAACAACTTGAAGCATCAATTCCAAGCAATCCTAATAATGAAAATGAAAAGAAGAAAATACAAGGCTCAACTAAATGAAATTAATCTAAAAAGCACAATTTTATTATTATTTTTTTAAACAAATCCGTCAAGAACACTTTCATCACAACAATAAATCTGAAAAAATACCAAAAAAAAAAATCAACAATAACTACAATAAATAATTCAATTTTCAAGGAATTCAAGGAAATTTTATTTTTTTTTATCTCAGCGATGCATTTTTTGACCACTTTTGGAAACTACTTTCACCCATTTTTTAAGACAAATCACAAAACCAAACTCAGAAATGGCAGACCACATGAACACGCTACAATCTCATTCATCTTGAAACCAGAGACAGATAAATAAATGGACAGAGCTAAAGGAATAACCGCCGCGTTCCAAATAAGAAACTCACATGTGGCTCTTCTGGCTCTGACTGATCCTGGCTCCCACTGACTTACATTGGAATACTACGCCCCTCTTTCTGTGTAACTACTGCAGTGAGCCGCGTCATTTTGGTCTTAAAATGTTTGTATTAACTGATCCTGGTGGGTTTTGTTTTTTGTTTTTGAATGCTGAATGTCACACGTGCTTAGTCCACTTTTTTTTATATAGTCTATGCTTGAAACCCCACAAAGATCCAACTCTCCCTACTAACTACAACTTTATCGCTCTTCTCAACATTGAACTTAAAAATGTCACAAAAACTCTCTCCCATAGATCTAACAAAATTACTCCAATCATAATCCACACCAGACCAGACTGGATTTATAAAGGGCAGACACTCACTTTATCATCTTTGCTTCTGTTTCCTTACGGCCTCTTGTATATAACTGTGATATACTCTATTTATATTGCCACATTCCTTTTTTTTAACTTACTGTACATAGACATTTATATAATTTATGTCTGATTTGGCACCAGTCTCTTGCTATTTTATTTATTTTATTTTTTTTTTATTGCTACTTATGTAGAGCTTTATTACAATTTTTATACTTTCCCGCCTTCTTTATTATTGTAATATATAGTGATGTAAGTAAGAAAGTAAGTAAGTTTTTCTTTATTTTGACATTTGTTACAGGTAGACATTTGTCACAAAGACAATTTTACAGAGCATTTTTCAGCATTATTCATTCAATCCACACCCGGTGATGGTAAACTACTATTGTAGCCACAGCTGCCCTGGGGCTGACTGACTGAAGCGCGGCTGCCATGCCAATCTGCGCCATCGGCCCCTCCGACCATCACTTACGCACACACACCACTTTCATACTAGGCAATGTGGGTGAAGTGTCTTGCTTAAGGACACAACAGCAGTTTTTGCAACTGACGCCTCCCTGTGGCTCCTGATTTTCCCAGTGTCTCCCATCCAAGTACTAACCTGGCCCTGCCCTGCTGAGCTTCTGAGATCTGATGGGATCAGACTTTGACAAGCCGGTGTGACCACATATGTGTGAGCTACTGTGTCCAAGGCATTTCCCTTGTGGATCAACAAAGTGTGTCTAAGTCTAAGTAACACACACAGGCTCATC